AGGCGTTGGGACATAGAAAGGTGGAGAGATGGGATAGGGTCGGCCGGGGGGAGGGCTGGTTTGAAACGGGGAAGGGCGGGAAGGCGAGGCTGAGCTGAGCGGGCTGCGTCGAGGGCTATTGTCGCTCCACAAGGGCGCGCCACGCCCACCGCCCACCGCTCGCTGCCCGACGCGGCGCATCGCTGCGCGCTTCCTGCGCGGAAACAAAAGCGCGCGTCGAAGAGGGCGCGCGGCGCCGCGCTCCAGTGGCGCAGGCGCCGTCATGCGAGGGGAGAGTAAAAGGCGGCGCTCGGGGGATGGGGGGGGCGTGAACCGAGGGTGACGCGGGGGCGGAGCAGAAAGAGAGAGTAAGTGTAGCTTGTCACATCACATTCTTCTCCTTTTTTTCACTTTCTTATTCTTAAGTTTCTTCTCTTCCTATTTCACCTTTTCCCCATTTCTCTTCTTCATTCTTCATTTTTTTCTCTTCCATCTTCTCCACCTTCACTTTCGTTCTACTCCATTTCCATTCCACTACTTCCATTTCTTCCCTTCTCTCCTCCTTTTTCTTGATGCAATGAATAATATAGGTCGTAGGCTAACCACGTAAGAAACTGCGCCTACTGCTTTCGTGAGCAACATCGGACTGGAGAAGCTGGTTGGAGTCTTGGCTGAGGCTAGATCGGTGCTAGTGCAGATGGCAAAGGAAGGTGAGATTGGCGCAAAGAGCGGGGAGAACGGGAATGGGGAAGGCAGCACGTAAGAAAGTTGGGGTAGATGAGAAACCCAGGGCAGGCATGGAAGTGTTGAGGAGAGGCCGGTTGTGGGAGGCGGAGCAGGAGCGTGGGCGCAGTGGACGCTTTTAGAAGATCAGATGGGAAGTTGAAGGTGAAGAAGTGGCAGAGATCGAAAGAATAACCAGTTGCAGGTGAGAGTAGAGGTTGATAGAAACAGATCCAACGCCGACGAAATGGAGAACGACCTAGAGAGAGAAGGTGTTCATTGTGTTGATGATGAAGTGGTGACTGATCGAGGATAAGAGAGGATACTAACTGAATGATAGTAGTGAAAATATCTCTAGCTGGTGAAGATTATACTAATGTAAGTGTGAATGTGGACTGCGATTGATGTGAAAGGGGAATAGTGTCGACAAAAAAGTAGTGGAGTACGAGGGGAAAGTGTAGAGTGAAAGTCTTCCCATATTTGACAGTAGAATTGTAGGAGAGGAACTTTATATAAGGTGAAAGCTAAGAATAATACAGAATTGAAGCTTGAGAGAAGCAAAGAGAGCAGCACATAAAAAGTATAAATAAGAATAGAAATATTCCAAAAGAAGTTTGTAAGTGGGTAAGAACAGACAGAATTGTGATTGAAAACAGATGAGGAGATAATGAGGATGAACTTAGAGAGAGGGGGAAGACAAAGCAAAAACATGAAGCAAAAAAATGAAAAGCTGTAACAAATTAAAGTGAATGTACAAAACGAAGAAGAAAAGATAAATAGAATGAGACTGAGTGAGCAGATGAAGTTCAAAAGTACACGAAGCAGAATTGCACCAGAAGCACAAACACGAGCAATGCAGAAGACACGAGCAAGTAAGCATGAACATTGCTTCGCGGAAGGACGAAAACGCAGCGAGATTCAGGCGTCGCGTCGGCAGAACTATCGAAGCGAACACAGGCGCCGGGGGCAGAGGGGCTGTGCGGTGCGGTCTTGGGGTGGGTAGGAGATGAGGTGGGGGGGCGGGTGCGCTGCCGAGTCGAGAAACTGCGGTCTCGTTCCAGATTCTCAGCTGACGGCGCGCAACTCCGGCGCAGCCCCCCAGAGGAAATCTTCAGTCTGCAGCTCAAGTTTCTATTCCCCATACTTCACGCTGGTCGAGCTGATGCGGTTCCCGCGTCACGTTCCCTCTTTGCATCTTATTCTTCTACATTTGTTTCTGAACTTCGTCGGTTCATCGTTCTCGTTATCTTTCTCCTCATTACCTCGTCGTTTTTTACATTCATCTTAACTGTTACAATTTTTCGGAAATAACTAAACAAAATCGGAAAACTATATAAAATAGTTTTGTGCCCCATAAATATTTACCTGTTTTTTATGAAATCATTGGCCCTACATTAAATAGTTTTAACAGGAATGAGCAATAATATGCGAAAAGAAACAAGCGAAATAAAATCGTAAAAAAACTTTTCGATTTAAAATTGTTTGAATCTATAATTATTTTGGTATATGTATTTTTAAAGGTGAGACAGTAAACTACCAGTATAAAGGCATGTGACAAAACACCAAAAGTATACAATAAAATGAAGATCAAGAACAAAACTAGGTCGTGACTTTTGAAAACTGAGGGAATGAAATCATAGAAGATCGAAAAAAGTTCAGCCTGTGGAACATCAAACGCAGATACACGTCCAACTCACAAGTACTGTTACTTTGGTGGGCCGCGGTGTAGAGGTTGGACTCCTCCCCTTATTCTGAAAGGGATGTGCACGATCCCCGCCCGATCCAAGAGGAAGTTGGGTGGACGAAGAGGGTAGCAATTTTTTACGTGGCTAGCCCACGACCCCATTCATTGCATCAAAGAAAGGGGCAAAAAAGAACAGAAGAAACGAACTAAGAAATGGAAGAAGAAAGAAGGAAGGTGAGAATAGATAAGATGTAAGCGAAAGGAAAATGAAGAAGAGAAATGAGGAGAAAGGTGAGATAGAAAAGTAATTGAAGAATGAGAAGATGAAAAAGGAGAACTTCTACACTTCTCTTTCACAACATGCCAAACACACAATCCAGCACGAGATGAAAATGACGGTGAAAAAGCATTTTCCAGGAAAACTTCCCCCTCTTCCTTCGTTGGCAAAACATTTGTAAACTGGGCGTTTCCTGGAAACGCGCGCGATGGAACGAAGTGACGTGAGCCATTGGTCCATGCAGAATGCAGATGGCGTTGATCGATTTGCTAGAACTCTACACTCTCGACAGCAGAGTACTCCTCTCTAGATGTTGAAAAGAGGTGTCCGGTAAAGTGATGGATTTTCCGTGAATCGCGAAAGTTTGCTTTTAATCCTTCCAGGTACGCTTTATCACTGAATTTTTCTTAGAACCTTGGATACAAATCAAACTATTGACAGGTCCACCTCGGTTTCCATATTTTAAAGATTAATTTGTTAGCAGTGTCATTTCTAGGAATAAGCGAATTGCGCGAACGAAATTTGTATGATAAATATCTCGTCATATATGAGCCAAATTAGATATATCGTGACCATACTACGATATAAGAAGGGTAATCTGAACTTCCAATAGAACAAGGCAAAAAAACAGAAAAAAATGCAATTTTGTGATTACGACAATATTAAATTCAATATTATATATTTCAGTAAAAATCCGTTTTAAGCGAAATATTGAAAACTAAACCATGTTCCACTAGTATCACGTTTCTTCCGACCTTTTGTTTGAGACGATTAAACACACATACATGTGCAATCGTACTATTCAATATAGGATGACAAGCAGAGCAACCGAGAGAAATTCGAGAAAACGTACCGCAATTTCTCTTCTACTTCTTTGTTGTCATTATTCACATCATCTCTACCATTTAATCTTCACACAGGACTTACCGGGAAAATTCAATGTTTTGATCTATGGCTTCGAACATTTTCTGTCAACTCTAGAATTTACACATCCAGTAAAAAAATTAGTCCAAAGCAGCAGGCGAAGCGGCCCAGGATGGCGAGGAACTGCGCACACTAACGCGATAGAGCATTACATCCAGAAGAGTCTAATTGTGTGTAAGACATGTCTGTTGTCACTTCTGTGTGGTGGCTTAGTGTGCGTTCTTAATGAAGGGTGCATCATCCCTTACCCGAATCTCTCTTTTATTCCTTTCCCTTTCACTGTAACGAGAGTGAGGGTATACCAGATAAACGCATGGTAACGGACTAAAGTGTTACGGCGGTCAGCGCCGAAGGGTAGTCATCTGGCTACATATCACTAAACCAGTTCATTCAACGACGGACCCTAGAGACACATAGGTAGGGACAAGCGAAATGGTATGACATACGCGAGCTTACGAGTCACATCGCGGGGTAGTTGGGGAGCCCAAATCAGTGTGATGGTTGATGGTTGCACAATAGCCAAGAGAAGACCTCCTGTTAACACCGATGATGCAGAAAGAAAATTATAGGAATTCATATTGCATTGCACTCAACTCATGACGCTCAGACTCAAACCTCTGCGGACATTTCCTTCGGCTCTCCGTTTTTTGACCCTGCTGGACCGGCCTCAATCGTGCCCGTCAAGTCCTATCACTCGCCCAATTCGACTCGAACAGCCGCGTCACACCCCCTCCCCATTTTGCCCCACCTCCACGTGACCACCTTCACTCACCCGCCCCACGCACCTTATCTCATCCCGCCTCACCTCACCTTGCCATGGCCTAACTCACCTCACAATGCCGCACCTCACCCACGCTCACTCCACGGCCCACACAATACCCAGCACCCTTTACGATCTAATCCCGCTTTCACCCACCCTTGCCCACTTCTCTCCGCACTCCCCACCGCACTCACTCGCCCAACTCATCTCACTGATATCACCCCGCCACCTCACCCACCAACCGCCTCACCTCAATTTCAAGCCCGCATCTCACTCGTTCCTTCGCCGCTCCAGCCTCACTCACAGTCATCTCCCACACCACAACAATCCTGCTTACGATATAACCCGCCTCACCCGACACCCGGCCCACTTCTTCACGCTCGCCTCACCTCATCTATTCTGCCTACCCAGTTCATCGATTCTGCTCGCCGCCCTCACTCACCTCACCTCACCCTCACCTCACCCATCTCATCTCCCACAGCCACACATACCCCACCTTTATCGAATTAACCCGCTCACCCACCTTGCCACTTCTCACCACGTCATCCATTCGCCACACCTCAACTAATCATTCCGCCCCGCCGCGCCCCTACCTCGCCTCACCCCAGTCTTCACCCTCTCCACGCCTCACTCTACACCGAACCCCCACACACCTCACCTCCCAACGCCACACCCTAACCGCTCGCCCGTCCATCCGCTCGCCGCCGCGCGCCTTTGTGCGCTCCTTTTTGCCGCCCGCCCGGCCCGCTGTTGATATTTCATTAGTCTCCGGAGTCGCTTCGGCCGCCCTCATTAATGAAGGAGCCGCTAACGAAGCAGTCGGGGCCCTCGGAGCTATAAAAAGCAAATATCGCGGACGCTGCCTGCCGCTCTCTTCGTCCTCTCGAGCAATCTTCACCTCGACGCCCTCGACGCCCCGCAGGTCGCGCCCTCTGCCGCTTCTCGTGCGCCGTAGCAGCGACGACCCAGTGACGTCACGCGCCAAAGAGTTAGTCACGAGGCTTCCAGACGTTTCAAGTTTCGTAGCCAGAATGAGAAACTCATTTTGGAATAAGATTTTCAATTTTGTCACGAAGTACCGAGATTTATGACAGTGACAGAGTCACTAAATGATTTTAAAAATATCATTGATTTTTCGATATCATTGATGTTTTAAAATGTTACGAAAATGAAGAGAAGCACGCGTATGCAACGTTTCACAATACAATAATAAATTATGGTAAACATCTGCAGAACCAATCGTTTGATCATGCAGAGAACTTGAGTAAATATAAAACTATTGGCGTTACAGCAGCACGTATTTTTTCGTATTATTTGTAACGGTTGTAAAGTATTATAATATTCAAACTTCAACGCTCCTAATGCTCCGGTCATCTCTTGAAATGCTCTTCTCAAAACGAAACGCAGGAAATTCGAAAAAGAACTTTATTTTTAGAAATTCAAAAGTATTTTAGTGTTCAAAAGAATTTAAAAAATAAAAAGAATTTAGTATTCATATAAAAAGTACTAATGAGCCAAAAAGTTCAGAAAACGGTAATAAAGTATGTTTTTATTTTATAAAACGCGGTACTTACAACATACGTACACAGAAAAAACTTTCACTTTTGAAAAGATCTGCAATTATATTCTACAAGTACTGCAGTGTTAGTTAATTTTGAGGAAGATATTATTAACTAGCGGAACCCGGCAGACGTTGTTCTGCCCTTCATCTCCCTCTTTCTCCTTCCCTCTTCGTCTCTCCCTCTCTCGCTCCGTCTCTCTCTCTCCCTCCGACTCTTCACTATCTCTCTGTCACTATCTCTGTCTCTCTCATACACATTTACTTACAGATTCTGCACGTTTATGGTGGATTCATATCGAGAAGTGCCGAAGCAGCAACAATGTACTTGAATGATAAACAATATCTTAACCTGTAGATTAAGGCGTGAGAAACGTTTCTTGGAAGTCTTAAGTGTTTAATGAATTTTAGTGTTTAATGTCCTAGAATGCTTTATTTAGAAGTCAGTCTCAAATCTTGTTGTGTGTTGCGGATTGCAGTCAACATGGATATTTAGTTTTGTTTTGTTTTGTTTTTTCGTGATTTTTTCCCGGTATTTTAATAGTTATTCTGCTATTCGGGGCGGAAATTCATATAACGAATCAGAGATAATTAAAATTGACCCAGCCGTTGTGGAGTTATAAATGGTGTAACTTACCCAACTTTGCTTTATTTATTTAGATGAGAGCATTTATTAATATTTTTTAAAAGGAATAACTTTTTGAGCGTCATTCTTATCGCAAAATACATTAATAATATAATTTAAATACATAGATTAAGTTACCAAACATTATTTGACATTACTGCAAGCAAAATATAAATTTTTTATCATACTAATATGATTTAAAAGACATAATTTGGTGAGTTACTAGAAGTGTAATGAAGGTGAATTAACTAGATATCTATAATATTAGAGAAAAATAGTTTACAATATATTAAATATCTTTCAGTTATACATAACTGTTATACATACTATGAGAAAGTCCGTGATATCATGTAGCACCTGCGTCCTCAGTGGCTCGTTGGTTACTGTGTTCGCTATCTACGGCGCAGTCCCGGGTTCTATTCCCGGTCGGGGTAAGAATTAACTGTGCGCTTTCCTCACAATGCCGCAGTATCTGTAGTTGTGTGACGAAGAGAAAGCTGATTTCCATTGTTAAGAACACCAGAATACAGTGTAGGGATGGCTATGTGCTAAACCCATGTACTCCTTAACCCTTGGCCGCAAGGCCGGGACGCTGCTGGTAGACTTAGCTCGTAAAGAGCTGCTGTGCCAAAGTACATACACACATGGTGTATCAACTGTTGTGTTTTTTCTGCCTATCGACCTCTCAGATTAAAAATATTCAGAAAATCATTTCAAGAAAGTGCGGAAGTGCCCGCAATGTATCTGTCAAATATAGCTGCATATAATAACTTACTTATAATAACAGACTGGTGAAAAAGTACATGCACAAATTTTTAAACACCTTATCTTATTATCTAATATAAAACACAATTTCCACAAATGATTTTGGTATGTTCTAAACCAACATATATTTTACATTTTCATAAAAATATTTAGAAAGTCTTTCTTTTTTCCATTGTGTAAGGTGTGTTTTTTTTCTTTCATTTCCCTACACAAGTCTCCTGCACACCTTCTTCCTCTTTGGGAGGAAATTGTGACATTCGATCCTAGATAAGACCAATGATTACATTTTCTGTACAGGCACTTGTCATAGAACCGGCTGAATATAATGTCATGATACGTACCGCTTAGATCAGAAGCTTACAATGCACATGCGCCAGTGCACGCAACGTACTGACAGATATCGCGTAGCGCAGCAATCAAGTTTCAACATGCTCAGGGAAAATGATTCAGAGAAAGAATAAAAATAGAAGGCAAGGCGTTCTTAGAAAAGTACAGTGAAGGAATACATGAAATATCATATGGCTAATGCACCGTAATAATTCAAGAACATTGACACAGGGATTTGTGAAAACCAAGACACAACAATTTTCTTGTCGTGGCTTGGTTTTCACAAATCTAAACACTCCCGGGTTAATAAGACTGCTCCACGAATGAAGTATGCGCCAAATATTAACTTTTATACACCCTAATAAATTAAGTATTATTCGAACAAGTGAACATGCGCTAAATGCAAATTATACTAAACTCACGCTTGAAGGGAAAGCCGTAATAACTCACGCTTGAAGGGAAAGTTGTAATACTGATGCATCAGTGTTTACAATCGACCAGGAGAGAGAATTGTTCAGAAACAATGTATAGAAAAACCGATAATGGTTTTAATACACTGCCCTCATCCAATCGTACAAGATGTACTGACGTAGGTGTTAATTTTATGGGTGGAATAGTAAGTAACCAATACAGTCTTCAAGGAGTGAATTCTGTAGTTACTCTTAGAGTGTACGACAGGTTTGTGCAAAATCGACCTATCATCGGTTTTTGTTGCATTAACATATTACCAAGGCATCCCTGAAATATAAAACTCTTCCGGTAAATTTAAAACTCAGGGAGAAAAAGAGAGAGATAAAGAGAGAGAGAAAGAGAGAAAGAGAGAGAAAGAGAGAGAGAAAGAAAGAGAGAAAGAGAGAAAGAGAGAGAGAAAGAGAGAGAGAAAGAAAGAGAGAAAGAGAGAGAGAAAGAGGAAGTGAAGAGATGGAGAAATCGAGAGAGGAAGAGAAGAGAGAAAGATAAAAAGGCGAGAGGAGAAAGAGGACGGAGAGCAAAAAGACAGAGAAGAGAAAAGAGCAAGACGGAGAGAAAAAGAAAGAGAGAAGAAAAGAAAGAGAGAGAGAAAGACGAAGAGCCAAGAGTGTATAGTATGAGCGGCGAGAGTAAGAGAGAGGATAGAGTAAGAAGAGAGAGTAAGAGAAGAAGTAAGAGAGAGAAATAGAGAGAGTAAGCATAGAAATAGCGGAGAGAAATAGATAGGGAGAAAAAGATAGAGAAATAGATAGAGAAATAGATAGAGAAATAGAGAGAGAAATAGAGAGAAAATAGGAGAGGAAATAGAGAGAGAAATAGAGAGAGAAATAGAGAGAGAAATAGAAGAGAAATAGAGAGAAAATCCGCTACTCACCTACTCCACTCCCCTCCCCACATCACAGATCTCACACACTCCATCTCTTGTCCGCCACACTCGGACTCACAATCCGCCGAATAGAGAGAGAATAGATAGAAATTAGGGAGAGATATATAAGAGAAATAGAGGAGAGAAATAGAAGAGAAATAAGAGGAGAAACACGAGAAAAATAGAGAGAGAAAGAAAAAGAGAGAGAGAGACGAGAGTTAAGAGGAGAGGAACGAGGAGAGAAAGAGAGAAGAGAGGACGCGCAAGATGAGCCGGAAGACGCGACCGACGAAGAGAGGAGGAACAAAGGAGAGACAGAGAGAGAGAAGCGGAAGACAGACGAGAGGAGGGAAGGAAAGAGAAAAGACGGAGAAGAAAGAGAGAGAGAGAAAGAGAGAGAGAGAAAGAGAGAGAGAGAAAGAGAGAGAGAAAGAGAGAGTAAGAGAGAGAGAGTAAGAGAGAGAGTAAGAGAGAGAGTAAGAGAGAGAAATAGAGAGAGTAAGATAGAGTAATAGAGAGAAATAGATAGAGAAATAGATAGAGAAATAGATAGAGAAATAGATAGAGAAATAGAGAGAGAAATAGAGAGAGAAATAGAGAGAGAAATAGAGAGAGAAATAGAGAGAGAAATAGAGAGAGAAAGAGAGAGAGAAAGAGAGAAAGAGAGAGAGAGAAAGAGAGAGAGAAAGAGAGAGAAAGAGAGAGAAAAAGAGAGAAAGACAGAGAGAGGAAGAGAGAGAAAGACAGAGCGAAAGAGAAAGAGAGAAAAAGAGAGAGACAGAGAGAGAGGAAGGGTGAGAGAAAGAGAAAGAAAGAATGAGAGGGAGAGAAAGAGAGATATGCCTATTCCTCGTCGGTTTTTGCAATGTCATTCTTAAATTCTAGTTTACTAGAACAGTAATTTAGTATTTGGAAACCAACGCAATTTCGAAGTTCGCTTCCAGGTGAGTGTATTCGTGCTATTTGAAGTTCAGATCAAGTCCACTGCACGCCTGCCACCGGAGAGTAATGATCAAGTGCGCGCGGCACGTTTCATCTCCGGCGACATGCAAACCCAGAGGCCGCGAGCACGCACCTGGCAGGCGCTATGCGTGTCTCTGGGGATGACATGTGTTTGCGAATCGGCAGCCGTGGCAAGAATAGCCGTGGGCCGCGTAATCTAATCGTGGGCATCCTCGCGCA